AGTGGGCCTTGCGTCTGAGCCCGTGCCTACGTGTGCATGAGCTTCCACAGCTCTGGTAGCTGCTTATCAGACCTGCCCTCCCGCTGGTACCTGCCCCTGAGACCTTTTGTCCTGCTCCCTGGTGGTCCAGTTTGAAGTCTGTCACGGAGTCAAGTGCACRCAGATCCCGAGAAAATGGGTTAGGAGCAGAGCTTAACAAGAGCAGAGGGCAGACCGGTGACACGGTGCAGGGCTTGGCATGCTCACCAGCAGCCAGCTTAAAGGTGTTGGGCCGTTATTTCTTCCTGCTTTGTTTTCCCATCCTCATCCCTCACTATCTAGCTTTGAYCCTTCCCCTAAATATCCCCTAATAAGTCCTGATCCCGTAATCCCTCTTAAAACATTGCATAATAAATTTCACGCAGTCCCACAATTCACCTCAGCCCCCGTGAAGGAAGTTTGCTCTTTCCTGCAGACCTCTTGGTCGTCTTGCTCTCCCCCCATCAGTCACACAGCTGGCCCTCTCCACAGTTACACTTAAGAGGTCCTGGAGCAGCCCATGTATCAGTGTCTTGGGCATTTTGGTCTCTCGTTATCCTCTGTTTGGTAGGATTTGTGTGTCTGGGTGTTTGACTTACTGCATTTCTGKTTTTTTATCTTTGCCTTCTTACACTGAATAGCTGTTTAGCAGATACCCTTACATTTGGAAATGACTTTGCCCCGTACTTCACAGAGAATTGGCACAGGGAGGACCCTCTGAATCAATCCATCTCACTTCAGGCATGTGGCAGTTTCTCTGGAGTGCCTCATATAGGGTACGAGAGAGGGTTTTGTTTTTTTCCCCCTGAAATATAAAATAAGAAGATGTGCTAGGCACTACAAGGAAAGGAATTACAGGGCAAAAAAAAGGAGATAATTATTGTATCCCGTAAAAAATAATACTGCATGGGCAAAAAAAAGGAGATAATTATTGTATCCCGTAAAAAATAATACTGCATGAGCATCTCTAGTACTGCAGTTGTAGTGTCCTTCTAAAAAGGGATTGTAAAACTGGAAAATGTTCAGAGAAGGACAGGTATATCCTGGGTTATGGAATGGTTTCTGTGAGAGCAACAAGAGTCTACGTCTGGAAAAGAGACTACTGAGAAAGGAGGAATGATGTAGTGATCTGTAAAAGTAAGTGACCTGGAAAAGATGGACTGGGAACAGTTGCTTACTTTTGTCTTGTACATAAACTAGGAGTCAAACTAGTAAATCCCTTTGGCTCAGGAAATAAGCCGTGAATTGCTAGAGACTGGAAAAATCCTCTGGGGAAATAATGCTACTCACTTGTCCTGTCTGTATATCTGTTGGCTTATTAGTCATCCTGTACTGGAAAAAGATTATTGGGCTTAGCGGGACTTTTGATCTGACCCAGTGTAGCAGCTCTTGTCTCCCTGAGATGATCCTACTGCAGTGTTTGCCCTTTAATGCTTGCTGGTGATTCCTGAGCTTTACTTAGGATCTCGTTTTCCTCAGTGGGGTCCTAGCTCTACGTGACGTGTGTGTCACGTAGGCTAGCCCTGTCTCTGCTCGCCAMGTGGCATTTCTTTTCCAGCTGTATCAGGTTTCCCTGGGAGTAGTGAGTTTTAGGATTTTAGCTTAAACCTCAAAGTTAGACTTACACTGCAACCTTTTGGGTATAGGGTGACTTGTTTCTAGAAGTTTTCCTATGTCCCTTCAGGACTTGAGGCTATTCTGTCATGCTTTGCTGCTGCTGTGTTTTGAGGTTCCTGCATTTGTRTGCCATCCCTTGGCGTGATAAACTGATTGTCTTGATAATCCCCATCACAGGAATGGAAAGACCTTGGTCAGGATTCCAGTGTTACAGTCTGTCTTCTAGAGTCAACCAAAGAAGCCTTATAAGGGTAGTTGGTAGCTCCCATCTTCCAGGCTCTGGGAGGCTGCCAGCCCGCATCTAGGAAGGCAGGAGGGTGCACTGGGCTACCATGTCCTTCACTTGACAGAGGGGAGAGGCCACAGGCTTCTGGAGCAGAGACTAGAGGTTGTAGTGGATGCATAAGGAAACAGAAGAGGCTCTAGCAGCAGTTCAGGCCCATCACCAATTTATGTCACATACATTGCAATAGTGTCTGCTCCCTGCTGGGTAGGCAGCCTTGCCTGCTTGGACACATCCCTCTGCCTGTGCAGGGCTGCCTGGGTTTGGGTTGCGTCTCTCAGGGAACATGAGGTGCTGTGGACACGGAGTGAGGTGTCCCGAACAGCCTGCGTGGAGCCAGGTGGGCTCCTGCAGTGCCACTGCTGAACCCGAACTAACAGTCTCATGGCAGGAGCTACCGCARGGCCTGGAGCAGGGCCACAGGTTTGGGGGAATAGTGAGGGAAGGTGAGGAGGAGGAGCTGCTGTGCAGCGGGGAGGTCCAGGTGGAGCAGCACTGCCTTCACCTGCGTTATCTCTAGGTTCTTGGCTTCTTCCGGAGTAACTAGACGAGATTGCCCTAGTCCTCTTCTGTGCCAGGAGAAATCCTGTATCCCAACAACTGAGAAAAAGGAAGGTGGAAAAAGGGTGGCTCCATATTGCCCCTGTATTTTCTGGGAGATACTATGGGTATTGAGGGGAAGAAGCCTTTGAAGGTTTCTTGTCCAGCCTCCTGCTTTAAGTAGCACTGTCCCAGCGCTACATGATATCATTGTGCCTATATCTAGCTGAGCCCTAAGAGCCTTCAAGGACAGAGATTCTGTCACTTCCCGGACACCCCTTCCTGTGCTGCAGCATCCTCTTGATGGCAAAGCTTTTCCTGATGGGTAACAATGCCTTTCTCCACTGGCATTTTATTCATCAGCACCCCTTGGAACATTTTCCCCAAAGGAGGAGGCCAGGCAGAGCTTATGAAAGCGCTTGCTCCATGGTTTGCACTGCTGCTCTTGCCTTTATTCACTGGCTGGCTGCATGCAGCAGCAGCACATATTGCCTGGTATTTTTACCCAAAGGGTATTTGGAGTATGTGAGAGGAGGAGGAAGCTGGCAGAAGACCCATGTGCAGGCAGGGCATGGAGTGTATTCGGGGAGGATGTTGATGGGCTCACGGGTCTCTGCTGGCTGCTCCTGCTGTTACACTACCAGATGTTGTGAATACAAGTGAGAGACGGGAATGGAGCTGTGAGAGGGATCTCTTGTGTCCTTGAGGAGAGCTTTCCCATCATTTCCGTTGACCATGTCAGTGTTCTCCATGGTTCAGAGTCTGTTTTCAAAAAGCAGCACCAGGGAACACCTATCTGAGAAAACAGGGAAAGCAATAAAATAGAAGTGACTGAAAGAGAAGGAAAACTAGCTACATTTCCCACCCTAAGTGTTTGCTAAAGGGACTGGAGTCCACTTACAACATGTAGCAGTCCGGGGTGTGTTGGGGCTGCAGTAGCAACACCACAGATGGAGATGTTTCATAAATACAAATATGGGCTACTGGGGAGAGCCAGGCAGACTCAAAAAGCACTGCAAGGCTGCAGAGAGGAACAATTTTGAGGGCTTTGGACAGATTTGGGCTCTTCCCAGAACAGAAAGGCAGGAGTGTAACTGAGGCAGCCTCTGGGGCCAGAGGAGAAGCAGCAGGGAAAATGCAACAGGCAGATGCCCTGCTGCAGCACTGGGAAGCTGCTCAGCTTGGATGACCACCCAAGGCCCATCTGTRGTCCGTGGATGGGACCACAGCCAAACCCGAAGGGAAGGGCTGCCGCACACAACCAGCCCGGAGGCTGCCCTGCTGCTGCCGCAGCGCTCCGTGCGACTGGGCACCGACACCTCTCGCGTGCCCGTCCTTTCCTGGCTGCCCAGCCGGGCTCCAGCAGCCCTGGCCCCCGCGCGGCCTCAGGAGCGAGCAGCGGTGGGGGCTGCTCCATGGTCCTGCACCGATCCAGGGGAGGCTGCTCCTCATGGACCCAGCCACGGGAGGCTTCTCCTCATGGACCCAGCCAGGGGAGGCTGCTCCTCGCACGGCGGCTGCTTTACCCACGGATGGGCTAGTGCCCAGGATGACGCTGCGGAGCTGTGCGGAAGGACGAGGAGCCAGCGGGGCCCCGGCGCGGCGGTTCGGAGGGTGGCTGCCCCACGGCCTTTCCGTGGGGCTGGGTGGGGGCAGGGGCAGGGCGGCCCCCGGGGGTCCCTCCGGGGAGGCTCGCGGGCCAGAGGGGGGGACGGGGGCCCTTGGGGGCAGCGCTAACGGCCGCGGCGGAGGCTGCCGCCCTCCTCCCGGCGCGGGGCGGGGCGGGGCGGG